ATTACATGAAGGGATTGGGGGCACACTGTCACCTACACTGTTGACTAGTTACCAAGTAGGGTATAATCTCTCTTCAATATATCATAATAGGAAGAACAATATTAATACTCTATATATAACTATATAGAATTCTATACTAAACAATGTACTTTGTCTCAGATCATACCGTCATTAAGCAGTGCATAACTGCGTGTGTGTGTGTGTGTGTGTGTGTGTGTGTGTGTGTGTGTGTGTGTACATAATTACAGGGTATATTCTGAGACATATGTCACTAAGGTGATTTCATCATTGTACAAACATCATAGAGTGCACTTACACAAACCTAGGTGGTCTAGCCTACCACACACCTAGGCTGTATGGTGTAGCCTACTGCTCCTAGGCTACAAACCTGTACAGTCTGTTACTGTAAAAAACACCAGATTAAATCAAGCACAAGAGAAAACGATGCAATTGAGATGTGGAGAAGTAAACATGAGATGTGAGACTGTGTTGGTGCAGCATAGCATGCTGTTTTGTGGCAAACTTTATAAGGAGAAAGAGTACACTTTAAATTAACAATAAAATGTATAATAATTAATATGTAAATCAGTAACATGAGCATTTATTATCATGCATTATGCACTGTACATACTTTCATACTATGGCAGCACAGTATGTTTGTTTACATCAGCATCACCACAAACACAAGACTAATGCTTTGTGCTACAGCATCCTAGGTGATAAGAATCTTTCAGCTCCATTGCAGTGTATATATGATAAGATATATAAAATATATATGATGATGAATTCCTCAATTTACTTGGTCTCCTTCATTTGGTAGATAGGCATGCTACTGGGAACTGCTAAATAAGTACATTTCAAGTTTGGATTCATGCCAGAACACACCAGGCTGATCGTTGTTTCTCCTGTAGATGTATATTGCTGGAGTCATAGACATGTTTAGATGGATCTGGATGAGGACGCTGAGGTTCGAGTGATAATATAAGAGGCAAAGAAAAAGAGCAGACCCAGTGTAACCACCTGACAATTTTACAGACCTTAGTAAGAAAAAGATAAGGTAGACCAAAGGAAAATTGGGGTGTGAGCTCTTCTGCCCACTGTTTTTTGTTGGTTTTTTTTTTTTGAAGGTTTTCTAAGGAATCTTTTAAAAACAAATTTTGAGGGTCCTTTGTTCCTGGTCAATATACATTCACAGGGAGGTAAGAGAGAAAGACGCGTGTATGGATAATAGAGGAAGTGTGGGCTGGCAAATACAGTTTTCATTGGTGAAAAAAGACTGCGGGCTAAATTACTCCTGAAGACTATTTTTAAAATTATTTCCTATTTGGTACCTTTATTTTCTTGGTGCAAATTTTACGAATTTCAGTTAGTGACCTAAATAAGCTTCTGTCAGAAACCAAGACAAGACCATTCATCCCATCTGCCAACAAGGAAGCTAAGTCAGGAATTGAAAATGACCTTCCCGAAGGCAATGGCCATGTGAATATACCCGTCTGCTCCCGTCTCATCCACTCTAAACAGGATGACTAACGATATGCGCAGGTGCTAATGCCTCAAATCTGTGATTTGACAGATCGCCGTCAGGGCATCACATGTTGTATACAGCTCAACCCAATTCACCGAACACAATAATGATCTGCTGGAAAGTCGGAATTGCCCTCAGGGGAAAAAAAAAACAACTGGAAATTTTAGTAAACTTTCTCAATTTTTCAGATTACAGAAAGAAGTCATAGAAATGAAACCGGTTTTTTAATGCTTCCTCCTGCTCAGTCTATTTACTAATATGAGAATTTGCTGAAAAATTGAGTCATCCATTGCAAACCTACTAGGCACAGACTCTCTCACTGACTGGGTTGGCATTCATTAAAATTTAATGTCAAAGTAGGATTTTGCTGTAATGTTTCTTTTGCTCTAGCCAAGTTTTACTTTAAAATATTGAGGAAAATTAATCTCTCATCCGATGTATCTGTATGCTTTTGACTAGTTAACATGTTAAGAAAAAGGCTGTGCTGTCCAACTATTAGATGTTATTTGGAAAAGAAAAAATATTTGCCTATGAATTTGTGGATGAAATGTTTCCAAGAAGAAATTATAAATGGGCCCTATTTTAGTTCTCTCCTATTATGAATGACAGGCTTAACATTCTTAGAAACGCTAAGAATATAATGACTACATCTTTAAAAGCCTCCAGGGATTATTGTACATTAACGTATCAGACTCAGTAAATTATTTATCTATAAATTAATCTTTCGAAACAGTTCTCCATCCCCGTTCAATTTGAAAGCTCAACTTCTGAGTCTCCACTTCAACTTTATATCTGAAGAGCCTACATCTGTAAAAACATTTCTAATGAAAACACAAAGACAACCCCCAGAGAAGCAAATAAAATGAGATTTAAGTATATAGCAGCCTTTCTCCAGTTACATGCCTAACAACAGTTGATTCTAATTTGATGCCAAATAGAGGTTATATAACAAAATCAGTTGTTACTGAGAACACTCTAGTTCCTTTTGTTTCAGTGAAAAATGTAGGTATGTAAATAATTCTGTATTTCCTCATTTACACCAAGATACATGAGTTACATCTTTGTCTGAGTCATGGAAGCAGAGGGCCCACTGGATAGGAAGAAGCGTAATTTGTGCTGTAGAGCAGGTGGCAGAAAAAGTGCACGCTGAAAAGTCTGGGCTCCAAGGTCTGTCACAGTTGCCAAAACACAAATATCAAAGACGGACTTAAATTTTCAACTCATAACACATTAAAAATTATTCAACCAGACTTTATTCAGCATTCCCACACAAATCACTTTATCAGCTAATAAGACCACCAGCCAACAATAAGACTATAGCCAGCAAAAAGATATTAAGCCTAATTTAGGGAACTAGTAATTCCTTGTGAAAAATTCTAATTTATGTCAATGGTCTGGACTATCTGCTAAATTAAACCAGTGGGGTTTTTTTTGTTGTTGTCATTATTCTTTTTTTAAAGGATAACAAGACCTTAATTTTACAAACTTGAAGTCATTACAATTCCACTCAAGGATCCTCCAATTTACTTTTATTCAATAGGACACAGGATGACAAAGTAGCCATAATTTTCATTAATTTTAGATTTTGTTAACAGACGTGCTACAAACATATCATGAAATATCCAATCTATTCCTACATCAAGGACTAAGACAGTATGTTCAAGAATGGATTGATAGGTGACTCATGTGCAGACAACTTGCAGCTTGAAAACACTGTGTAGGTAGATTTGAGGTAGAGTTTGAAGTAAAAATTTTTTTTGTGGTAAAATGTTAAATTTTAACCATTTTAAGAGTACAATTCAATGGCATTAAATATATGCACAGTGCTGTGCAACTATTTCCACTAACCATAATCCGGACAATATCCAATCTTTTCTTCATTTCTTCATGAATGCAGCGAATGTGGAGTGCCTACCTGGCAGGCACTGTTGCAGTCCTAGCATATAGCAGAAAATAAGATAGACCCGATCTGTCCTCATGGACCTTATGTTCTGGTTAACTACGCTTCTCATTACCCCCAAACGCTATAAAACATATGGAAAAGTGTATCATTTTGATAAGATACCAGTGGCATGACACATGCTTTGTATCCATAATCCGGTTCCAACACCATAGGGTTGCTCAGAGACGTTACAGCACAGTATCTACTTTACACTATTACTTTTGGTCGCTGCTTTAATAGGTAATGGACAGTAAAACAGCAGAGTTACATTCTTAACTGATGGACAAGTGTAATACCCTTATCTTGGCCTTCTGCATCTCTGTATCATTTAATTCATCATCTGATAAAATGCTGTATACCATAGAAACCGGTCATAGAAAATAACTTGAGGTTTTCTAGTATTTCCAATTTTAAATGTCAGTTTGGGATTTCATCTATATGAAATGTCCAGAATAGGCAAATCCACAGAAACAGAAAGATTAGTGGTTGCTAGGGAGTGGGGGGAGGGGAGAATGGGCAGTGATCGCTGAGTATGGGGTTTCTTTGATGAAAATGTTCCAGAATTAGACAGTAGTGATGGTTGTGCAACTGTATGAATATACTAAAAACTGCTGAATTGTATACTTTAAATTGGTGTATTTTACAGCATGTGACTGAAATCAATTTAAAAAATCAAGTTAGGTATGCAGTCAAGCTGGACATAATAGCAATGAGAGGCCTAATTTTCAAAGTCCACACACGTTGCCAGAGGACCCTTCTTATCAACTGCAAGAACCAGGCCAGTCCATTTGAGGTGGCTGGGGACGAGCGACAGGTACTGGGGTGATCTGAGAACTCAGATTCAGGCCAGGCAGTATCTGGACAGAGCAGTAAGTAGACAAAGCATTCTGGTTCAACTAGACTGTTCTACTCTAAGATGTTTGTGCAGTGCCCCAAGATATCCTAAAACCATACTCAAACTCCCACATCTGCTGGAAGCAACAGGGAACCAGGTCTAAATAGAAATTACTGGGATGTACCTAGAAAGGAACTGTTCAAGTTTATACAGAAATGGCACCATATACACGTGGCAGACATGGTATACCTCCCTCCCAGGCAGGATGTGCCAACCTTAGACGTGGAGACTAGAATTCCTCCATGAAAAGGAATCACAAACATTTTAAAAGTGAATTTCATTTCACATTAAAATACTTGATGAAAAAGGTCTGCTATTATAGGAGCAGTGAGGAAAGTTACTCAGTTACCCACCATTCACTTGCTCGTTCATTCATCTACTTTGGTCGTACTCAGCCCAGGGACTGGGAATAATTTAGTAGAGCAATCAGTGTAAGTGTTTTCCATGCCACATACAAATGAAATGGCTGTTGCTAAAGGACTACAAAAAGGTGTTAACATTTCAGACTTCCAATTTTAAGACATAAAAAAGTATATGCAATGCAAGCACTTAAAAACCAAAAATACAAAGACTTGATATGGAAGCGCCGCGCAGTTGCCCACTTGGTTTAGAACAAAAGTAATACATTGCTCAGGGACTCAAAGATGCATACAATTATGATTTTATTTGTTAAAATACATAGCCAAAAGATTGCTTTACAGAAGGCAAAATAAACCACACATCCATTTTAGAAAAGTTCTGTTTCTTTAAATCTAAGGCCCCCTCTAGTGTTTGAAAACAGTCACACACAGCACACAGTGCAATGGAAGGCACAGTGTCACCATATTTTACCCAAGACCTCCCCAAATAAAAATACTTCTTCTGTTCCATTCATGTGGCACAAAAATCAGTGAGTGAAAATGTCTAACCATAATTAATATTTCAAATTCCTGCTTTGATTCATATACTCATTATTCTCTCATTCAGTAATTTGTTATTTACTTGCCGGGTTGTTTTTAGATTAATACTTTGTTAATAAGGAAAAACAAACAAACATATAATGCATGTACGGACTGTAATTTCCCAAACAAGAAATATACCTTCTTGGAAAACAAAAAATTAAGTTACCAAATAGCCTATTCTGCTTTTATGGAAGTTATCAGTAAATAGAATATATATTCCCTAAAGTATATGCTTCAATTTACGATATTTGGGAATCAAATTTCAAACTACATGTATTTTAAGACTCACCTAAATCTGTAAATTTTCTAATAAGCCTTTTCTGTACCCTGTAAAAGGACGTGGAAGGTGTTGCTTTGAGGGCAAACGTTGGCTCTGAAGATATGATGTAAAGTGATTCTAAAAAGTTGGTACAGACATGGCACTTCATCAATCCAATGGCATAATCTCATGTACTTTTTTAAGAGACTGGTTAAGATTAGAGGGAGAAAAAAAGTTTCCCATTCTACTTTTTCACCTAAAGTCTTTAAGTGTCTGTTTCCATGTTATTATAGAGGTGACTAGTCTTACTATTACTGGAAATAAAAAGAAATCTCTATTGTCAACAAAAGAAAACAGTGTAATCTTGAGCAGGAGACAGACAAGGAAGACCTTATTAATAATGTTATTACTTCATAGTCTTAAATTTCAGAGTACAGTGAAAATTTGAAAAGGCAATAGTTTTTGAAACAAGTTTAATATGTATTAACTTTATTTAAATAAACAACTAATTTGTCATGCAATAATATCATATGGCTTCTCTGCATTGATCCTGGCTTTAGGTTTTCAAACTTGTCACTTGTAAATGTTGTAAGTTAAAAAGACAGAACATCTAAAATGAGTTAAGTAGAACTGGTTATGTTTACAATTAGTCTAAACTTTTAAGATCTGTATTTCAAATGAACAGGACACATGTTTTTAAAGTGCAACGTATAGTCTTTTGGCTCAATGTGAAAAGTTATATAACTTGAAATTACTGCAGTCATTTCTCCTAGAACAAATTTAGTGAAAAGATGTTATGAAAGTTGGCCACGAAATTATAAATTACAAGAAACACAGAAAAGTCATTTAAAATGAGTATATAAAATGCAATTACAAATAAAACGAGAATGGGAGAGGTAGCATAAAGTAAATAAAATCAAATAAATACTATACAAGAGCATATAAAATTGTGCTTATAAAAAAATCGAAAATTGGACCTTAAAACATCCATTTTTCCCTTCCTTTGACAGTTTTACAATGAAATTAAAATTCAGACCTGGAATCTGTAAAGATTTTCCAAATGTTATTAATTACTGGCACTGCTCTTTGCCAAAACCTCTCTGATCTGTCGGTCAAGTTCACTTATTATTCGATCCTCATGATTGTACACACCCGTCCTCATCAAAGTATCCCTTTCTTCTATTAGGCGAGTCAAATAATCATCCAAACCTTCTTCCCCGGCATTGCCATGTGGACTGTCCATTTTCCCACTTGCAATTTCTCTGGAATCCGGGTACTGTTTTTGTTCCTGTTGCCTTAACCTGAGAAGTCAAGAACAAATACCACTCTAGCAGGCAACAAATGCTGTTTTGGTTTTGTTAACAATGCCATTTAAAAACAAAATGATTTAATGGTAAAATACGTTTTTAGTAATATTTTCAGGAAGAAAACAAAAACCAGTGTTACATTTGGCAGGTCAGAGTTAGCACACTTACAAAAGACACTTTTAAAAACAATACTTGGTTTTCTAATTATAAAATACATGAAAACCAGAAATTTTGGAAATGTATAAAGAAAATAAAATCATCGTAATCTTATCCAGAGATATCCAATTTGAGTAATAATTTTCTGTATTTCTTCTCAATTAAAAGTGCATATATACATATTTTTCTAAAAAATTAATATATACACAATGCTGTATAATATTTTTACTTATGAATATAACAAATGTTTTCTGACACTACAAGTGTTCTTCTAAATGGTCTCATAACATTCCATTACTTAATTATCCTTCATTGCTGATCTTTAGGTTGTTAAACCTTTGTTGTTGTTTTGAACATAACATTTTCTTCTAAATTCATTCAACAAATATTTATTTGTACCAAACAGTTCTAGGGTTGGGGGATACTGCAGTGAATCATGAAAAGAAGTTCTTACTGTTTATGGGGCTTATTTCACTCATTATTCATAGCAAGTGAAATGCTAGAAATGTGAATGTCTGGGCCGAAGGGCAGGTACATTTTAAAACTTTGTACAGATATCTCCAAGTAATGTTGGCGACGATCTCATTTAGGAGATGAAGGAAGGAGAGCAGGTGCCAGCCTGGGCTTTGGGTAGTTCTAATGGAATACTGTTAATTACGCTGCCTTGAAAATGGAGCGTACACTTAGTGATAGTAACAGCAAGTCTGGACATGGAGTATGTTTTAATTTAGAATGTACAATTAAGACGTAACTTTATGCTCCTTTATGTAACTGGCTACCAAAATGTTTTCATTTGCATCTCCTCCTAAATTTCGTCTTTTATAAATAAGATAAAGCAGTTGAGTCCAAGCCCTAGCTTCTAGATGGTCTTCAGAGTCAGCAGCCGATGAGAACAAAGCCCACTTCCAAACTGACACCCGCAGTGGGAGAGAGGGAGGAAGAACGAGTAGGAGTGAGTCCTGCTCAGACAGACTAGGAGGACTCGGCCCCAGTTCATTGGCTTAGATGGCCCTCTGAAATTTGGACTGACTCCATAGATTCCCCACGAAAGAAATGGAAACTGAAGTACACAGTCCAAGGACACCGACTATCTCCTATCTGTATTCAGAAAAAAATCCTAAATAGTGAGGGCACCGTGCTTTGGGACTGGGATAGACATCAAGTGGTTAGTGGGATACTGGTACCAATTTGAGCAATTCATGTGGAAAGGTGAGGGAAGGTTTCTGAATAGTTGTTTCCCTACCCTAATTCTTATAGCTCCCTTGGAGGGCGAGGTCCTCCAGGCAAATTATGACACAGAGCACCAAAGGATGTACCAGAAAGTTCAACCATTTCCTTGTTCATCTGTTTATGCATAAAGGACACAGGGAATTTTTTCACCTCTGATAGATTATCTCTACCAAGTCTATACTAAAATGCAATTCATCCGTCATGGCAACAGGAGGATTTTAGAACCTTGTAGCTGATGAAGCCCACAAAGTTATCAAAGAAAAACTTTACTTCCCTGACAAACGCTATGTCTGAACTCCACTCACACAATTCCTGTCACCAGGAACCTGCAGCTTTGCAGAACGTCTGTTAAAAAATTCCTTCCCAGATTGAACTCAGTATGTGCCCTTACACTTTCCAATAACCGGCTATGATTCTGCTCAAGAGGGTAACCTATTTACTTCAATATGGCAGCCCTCCACATAGGTGAAGGCAGCTATCTCATACTCTGCCCAAGAGTTCTCTTCAAGTTCAATATCTCTCACTCCCAAACTGCTTCTTGGTCACACTCCACTGGAAGCTCTCTAGGTAGCCAATTTCCTTTAAAGTGTGCTGCACATTGGTTGAGAACATTCTAGAGAACATTGATTTTACCAATGCTGAAGCTGAACACTACTTCTCCGAATGTCCCTAACTGCAGTGGTTTTTTTGTAGCCAAGTCACACTGTTATTAGTGGCCATGTAAACCCTCCTTGGAGTCCTCACATGAACTGTTTTGTTTTTTTCCTTTTGTATCTTGCCCATCACTTAAGAGATTTTTCTTATAATTTATAGAGAGAACTCTGCTTTTGTCTCTAATATCTTGCTGGTTTCAGTTCTCTCTGAATTCTAATTTATTAAGACATTAATAGTAAGATTCAATTTTGTAGGATCTACAAATTGGATACGCCAATAGCTACCTTCATGTAAGCCACCAACGTACTTAGCAAACAGTAGAGGCTTAATATATATTTGCTAAACTGAAACCAAAGAAGTGCTATACAGTCATGCATCGCCTAGTGATGTGGCAGCCGTCGTCATGTCCCAGTGCACCACATTATGTGTTTGTGGTGATGCGCGTGTAAACGAACCTACACGCTGCCAGTCGTTTAACAGTATAGCATGTGCAGTTATGTATAGCACACAACACCCGATAATGATAATAAACGACTACGTTACTGGTTTGTGTATCTACTATACTATACGTTTTATCTTCATTTTAGAGTATGCTCTTTCTACTCATAAAAAAACAAGTTTGCTGTAATGCAGTATGCCGGGTTAGACCAGAAGCAGCCTCATACATCTCGTGTTTACTGCATCTCTTGATGCACCATTTTCCTATGTGTTTGATTTAATCTCGTGTTGTCTTGTACAGTAACATGCTGTACAGGCTGTAAGGGCACTAGGGCTACGCCAGGCAACCTAGGTGTGTGGCAGGCCAGACCATCTAGGTTTGTGTAAGTGCGCTCTATGACATTCAAACAATGACGAAATCACCTAAAGATGCATTCCTTGGAACGTATCCCTGTCATTAAGCAACACATGACTGTATATGACAGCAAAATTTTGAAAGACAAGAATTGTTATAGCCCATTAATTTGTAAAATCTTGCAAGTCTACAACACAGTAGACACTAAATAAATATTTGATGGACTAAAAGAGAATAGCATGAATTGAGCCCGGCAGCATGACAATGTACACCGTAACCTTTTCCAACTGATATCTATACGTTAATTTTCTAAATGCAGTTATTTCATTCAGCTCTAAACCCACCTAGTACAGTGACTGAGTTTTCCCAGCTCATACATGGAGATGTCTTGGGATATTTTGTCAAATGTATGTGCTATAGACTGAATTGTGTTCCCTTCAACATTAATATGCTGAAGCCCTATCCCCCAATGTGATGGTCTTTGGCTTTGGGGGGATGATTAGGTTTAGACGAGATCATGAGGGTGGAGGCCTCAGGATGGGTTAGTGCTACTGTCAGAACAGACACCAGAGAGCTTGCTCTCCCTGCCGTGTGAGGACAGTGGGAAAGCAGCTGACTGCAAGCTTGGAACCAGAACCAACCAGGCTGGCACACTGATCCTGAATTCCAGCCTCCAGAGCTGTGGGACAATAAATTATTGTTGCTTAAGACACTCATCTATGGTACTTTATGGCAGCCTAAGATAAGACAGTACGCTTTGCTGAAACAAAAATACTAGTCTCTTAATAAACTAAGCTAGAAAGTCTTCCCCCAAACACCCCTCCAAAAAGACTACAACTTGTGCTTAAGCAGCTTCCTAATGATGACATTTCTAACATGAAATATTGTTCACATTTTAACTAAGATGACATGACACTACAGAGTAGCCCAGCGTAGCATGGTAGTTAAAAATCAACCTCTGGAATCAGATTTGAACTCAGGCTCTAATGATATACTAGCTGCGTGACCTTGGAAAGGGTACTTTAATTTCTTTAATTCTTGGTTTCCTCATCTCTAAACAGAGAAAAATATGCTTTGAAGATAAAAGAAAATGAGATAGCCATGTTAGGCATTTAAAATAGCTCCTGGCAAGTATCACACTACCCGACATCAAATCATACTAGAAGACTATGGTAATCAAAACAGTATGGTACTGGCATAAAAACAGACACATAGACCAATGGAACAGAATAGAGAGCCCAGAAATAAACCCATCCACATATGGTCATTTAATCTATGACAATGGAAGCAAGAATTTACATTGAAGTAAAGATAGTCTATTTAATAAATGGTGCTGGGAGAATTGGACTAACACACGCAAAAAAATGAAAATGGACCACTTACACCATATACGAGAACAAATTCAAAATGGATTAAAGACTTAAATGTAAGACCTGAAACCATAAAACTCCTAGAAGAAAATATAGGGAGTAAATTTGCAGACATTACCCTCAGTAATATTTTTACTGATATATCCCCTCAGGCAAGGGAAATAAAAGAAAAAATAAACATATGGGATTACATCAAAGTTGAAAGTTTTTTCACAGCAAAGGAAATCATCAATAAAACAAACAGGCAGCCTACTGAATGGGAGAAGATATTTGCCAACGATACATCTGATAAGGGGTTAATATCCAAAGTTTATAAAACACTCATGCAACTCAACACTAAAAAAGCAAACAGCCTAATTAAAAAATAGTCAGAGAATATGAAGAGGCATTTCCCTAAAGAGGACATACAGATGGCCAACAGGCATATGAAAAAATGTTCAACCTCATTAGAGAAATGCAACTAAAAACCACAATGAGATACCACCTCACTCTGGTCAGAATGGCTATCATCAATAAATCAACGAACAAGTGCTAGTGAGGCTGTGGAGAAAAGGAAACCCTGGTGCACTGTTGGTGGGACTGCAGATTGGTGCAGCCACTATGGAAATCAGTATGGAGGTATCTCAAAAAACTGGAAATGGAATTACCCTATGATGCAGCAATTGTACTCCTGGGTATCTATCCAGAGAAATCCAAAATGCTAATTCGAAAAAATATATGCACCCCTATGTTTATGGCAGCGCTATTTACAATAGCCAAGGCTTGGAAACAACCGAAATGCCCATCGGTAGATGACTGGATTAAGAAACTGTGGTACATTTATACAATGGAGTATTACTCTGCTATAAAGAAGAATGAAATCGTACCATTTGCACTGATATGGATGGAACTAGAGACTATTATGTTAAGTGAAATAAGTCAGTCGGAGAAAGACAAATACCATATGATCTCACTTATACGTGGAATCTAAAAAACTGAATGAACGAGCAATGTAAACAGAAATGGTCTCAGAGACGTAGAGGAACAACTGATGGCTGCTAGTTGGGAGGAGGTGGGGATGAGGGAGAAGGGGAAGGGATTAGACAGCATAGATTGGTAACTACAATATTGACACAGGGATATGAAAGACAGTTCGAGGAATATAATTTATAATGCTGTAAATATTTTGTAGGTTGTCAGATGGTCACATGTCTTGTTAGGGAGACTGCTTCATGGATGGGGTAGAGGCTTGATCACTGCACTGTACACCTGAAGCTGATGTTGTACAATATTGTATGTCAACTATAAGTGAATATATATATAGTCACAGGATGCGGAGTATAGTGTGGGAATGGAGTCAATGGAATTGTAATAGATATGTATGATATGGGGGGGAGTGGGGCGGTGGATTGGGGGTGCGGGGTTGTCACTTTGAGAGGTAAAAAGTATAACTATTGCGCTGTGTTATACACCTGAAATTAATTAAAATAAAATAAAATAAAATAAAATAGCTCCTGGCACATGGTAAGGGCACAATAAATAAATGCTATTATTTATATTAATAATATGACTAAATTTGAAATTTCTCATTCTTTTTAAAAATTCAGTTTAATCAATTACTTTGAAATAGTAGCAATAATCCTGAAATAGTCACATAAAAATAAAATTTAAAGTACTAGTGCTATGAATGGAAACAAAAAAAGCTAAATAGATTTGATACAGCTACATTCACGGCAAAAAAATTGAAATAACAGTTTTTGGCATAGATTTTCTATTGTATAAATCAGCTACATTTTATATATGACCTACATTCTTCTCAAAAGACCTGACGTTTATACTTTCCATGGACCAATGACTAATTAAAAGGCTATCCTTTTGGAACTTTTGTTTTTGTATGAAAAAAGAAATGTAATGTTCCAATTACCATACCTGTTCAATTCATTTCTTATATCCAACAATTCTTGTCGCTCAGTTTTTACTGTATCTTTTTCCTCAGAAGCCAGGTAACGTAGTCTCATCTGTTCCAGTTCCTCTTGCTGTTTCTTAAGACGAGCCATTTGACTTTCTTGCTCCCGCTTGAAAAAAACAAACAAGTCAGAGCCTTAATATTAGGAATACATATACTTCATATGACTTTGACTTGTGATTGTAATTCTATTTGACAGTACCCATGATATAGCCACGCACTACCAATTCTATGAGTCACACATCCAGAAATGGCCAGGTTCTCTTTTAAAACTCATTACTCCTCTTCGTGTTATAAGCCATAATCATTCATGGCCTCATCAGTGATTGGAGTTAGCAGAATACCGTAAGATAACAGAAGATGAGGCCAAGAAAGAGTCTGCTGTCAACACAATGAGTTGCCACAAGGTGGTTAGAGCAGCATCTAAGAAATGGTTAGTTATACAAAGATGAACCAGGAAAAATTCAGTAACTGGTCCCTAATTTCACTCCCATGTCAGGTAATAATATGCCTTTTCCACTCTTTTCTTTTCAGGATCACACAAAAATCTATGCATATATGACAAAATTTCTTTAAAATAAATGTGTAACATTCCATAGAATGGATATTCCATGATGTTTCCAACCCCTCTCTCAGTAACAGAGACTTTGGGTACCACAAGCAATGCTGCAATAACACTCCCTATCGTCCAACATCGCTCACTCATCTTTCTACAGATTTCTTTAAGGACAGGTGCTTTTCTTTCTTTAGGACAGAACCCCAAAATGGGAGAGCTGGATCAATAGGAATGTGTCATCTATTTTTAAAAAAATAAACATTCATTGAAAAACGACAGAAAACTGCTAAACGACAAGTGTCCATTTCAATAAAACTTCACAAAGTGACCCACTCACATAACCACCAGCCACATCAAGGAACAGGTTATCAGACCCCCAGAAGTCCCTGTGTTTTCTCCTAGTCACTAACCACTCATTCTTTCTCAAAGATTACAACCCCAGTTTCTAACACCACAAGTTTCACTGCTTTGAACTTTACGTAAATGGAATTGGACAGTATATATTACTTATGCCTGGCTTCTTTCACTTACTGTTGTTTTTTCAATTCATTAGTATTATGTGTAGTTGATGATTTACATTACTATATAGCATTCCATTGGATGAATATACAATCTATTCATTACACTGCTGAGGAACATTGGGTTAGTTTCCAGTTTTGTATTATAAAGCTGATGTGAACATTATGGTACATGCCTTTTGGCACATATTTGTACGCATGTCTATTGGGTATATACCTAGGATTCAAACTGCTGGGTCATAGGGTATGAGAATTTCAGTAGCATAATAGTAAATAATGTCAAACAGCTTTCAAAGTAGTACAAATCTATACTTCCATGTGAGCATTTCAATGTTCCATATTCCTGCCAACACTTGGTAATGTCAATTTCTTTGTCATTTAAACCATTCTGATAGGTTATGTAGTGGTACCTCATTGTGATTTTATTTTGCAGTTTTTCAAAGACTAATGAGGCTGAACATATCTTAATATTTTTAATGGCATTCGGATATCCTTTATAAAGTTCCTGTTCAACCACTGGGCACTCTGCTCTACTTGGCTAACCATCTTTTCTTATTGATGTTTGTAGTTCTTTATATATACTGGATAAGTCATTTGAAACGTAACTTCCAAATATTTTCCCCTAGTCTTTCTACTGCCTTTTCTCTATTTTAATGGTATTTTTTACTTAATTTTAGTATCTTCCAAATTTATCTATTCTTTTCTGGCTGGTCCCTCTATGTCCAATTTAAGAAAGTTTTTGTCTGCTTCAGTCTTGAAGATACTCTTGAAGCTTTATTTAGATCAATAATTCATGTGTAATTGGTTTTGTGTATGGTGTGAGATCAAGTTTCTTCTCCCCATATAGAGCGCCAATTGACCTAGCATCATTGACTGAAAAGCAACATTTTCCACCCACTACTTGGCAGTATCACCTGTCATACTTGTATGTCACCTCTGTCCATATATGGATAAGTTTGTTTCTGAGCTCTCTAACCTGATCTATTTCTCTATCCTTGCATTAAAAGTATACTGTCATAATTACTGTAACTCTTGTAATAACTCCTTTTTAAAACTGAATTTATTGGGGTGAAACTGGTTAGTAAAATTACTTACATTTCAAGTGTACAATTCTATAATACATCATCTATATATCACATTGTATGCTCTGGAAATCTGAAAAAAGTCATCTATTTTTGGCTATTCTTCAAAATTCTTAGTTATTCTTGACTCCCACATTTTCATAGACATCTCAATTTCTAGGGCTGAATAAAAAAGTCCTGCTGGGATTTGATTATGATTATGCTGAACCTACAGCTCAATTTGACCAAAGATAATAATCAGGGAATGCGGTTTACCTCTTCAATTATTTAGGTCTTTTTAAATTTTGCTATTTCATCCTTCTCTGTATATTAAGAGTAACATCTTTCTGTGTTCCTTGTATTGGGTGTTTTTAGATGCGACTGTAAATGTCAGAGTTTTAAAACTTTCCTTCTTTACTTGTCTAGTATAGAGAAATGAAATTGATATTTACATACTGTGTTTCCCAAAAACTTGCTTTAAACTCATTAATTCCAGTAGATAATCTCTAGACACTTTTTTGTTTTCTAAATATATAAGAGTATCATCTGCAAATAGTAATGGCAGTTTTATTTTTTTTCCTTTGCAACTGATACACCCTTTCTTTCTCTTAGGCTATTTATATTGGCTAGAACCTCTAGTACAGTGTTGATAAGAAATGGTGATATGGGGGCATCTTTCTCTCATTCCTGATATCAGGGAAAAACTTTCCTCATTTTAAGATAGGTTTTATGTAAATACCCTTTATTAAATTAAGAAATTCCCCTTACATTCTTAGTTTGCTAAAACTTGTTATTATGAACGGGTATTGATCTTTTCTGCATTTCTGATATGATCACTTGATTTTTTCCCCCCTTTATTCTTTTAAGGTGGTAAATAGCCAACTTTGCCTTTGTTTAATAAATAAAATTGACCGTGATGTCTACAAGTTTTATATCTATGTTCATGAGACTGGCCAATTAATTGTTTTTATAATGTCCTTATCAGATTTTAGGATCAAGATTATGCTGGTTTCATTTTTTAAAAAGTGAGGTGTTCTCTATTCCTAGTTTCTGAAACAGTTTGTGTAAGATCAATGTTATTTCTATTTAAAAGGTTTACTAAAATTCAAATGTAAAGACTTTTGGGTCTGAAAACTTCTATGTGTAAAAGTTTTTCACTACAAATTAGATTTCTCTAATAACTATGATATTTATATTTTGTTTCTTCATATGTCAGTTTGATAAGTCCTGTTTCTCAAATTCACATGTAATTTTTCATACTACGCTCTTATCTCTTTAAACATCTGTGGAACATGTAGCTCTGACCCCATTTTTTATTCCTGGTATTAGGATTTTGTGTCTATTCTTTTTGTCCTTGAACAGCTTTGCCAAGTTGTTCAAAGAAACAACTTTGCCAAGTTGTTCAAAGAAACAACTTTTGACAATTTTGTGCATTTTCTATTTTATTAATTTTTATTCATCTTATTTCCTTGCTTCTAATTTCCTTAATGTTATTTTACTGACTGTTTGAAAGGGATATTTAGAGAAAAGGTTTTATGCTTTTCTTATTTTCTAAGTGCACTTGAGGTTATAAATTTCTCCCTAAGCACAACTTTCATTAAGTCTCATGTCTTGATATGTTCTATTTTCATTATTTTTCAGTTCAAAATATTTTCTAATTTCACTTGTGGTCTCCAGTTTAGCCATGGGTTATTAGAAGTGTACTACTTAATAAATATCCCCAAATGATTGAAAATTATCTTTTTATTGTTAATTTCTAGCTTAATCTCACTGTGGTTAGAAAATATGTTCTGAACTACTCTTCTGAAATTTATTGACAATTGTTTGATCCAGCAAATGAGCGATTTGGCTAAATGTGCCATGTGTACTATAAAATATGTATTCTGGACTTTTTAATGAAGTGTTCTATGTCTATATCTTCTAAATCTTTATTGATTTTTTGTTGTTTGTTCTATCAGCTCCCAGGAGAGTTACTGTAAAATCTAACATTATAGTATTTTTCCTTTTAGTTTTGATTTTTACTTTATATAAATTTGTGGCTGTTATCAGGTACATACAAACTTAGAATTATCATCATCTTCCAGGGAAACTGAACCTTTCATGATTAACCTTTCACTTTATCTACATTAATGCCTCTAGCCCTAACATCTACTTTGCCTGATGCAAGTATTGTTAGATCAGATTTTTTTTTTGGTTAGTATTAATGTAATATATAGTTTAACTTCTTTTAAATTCAATCATTCTGTATCCTTATATTTAAGGTGTATCCCTTGTAAGTAGCTTACTGTTTAAACTCAGTTTTTAATTTAATATTTGTCTTTAAGGGGAGTGTTCAGTCCATATGTTTATATTTAAAGCAATTATATATTAAAACAATTGGTAATATATATGGGTTTAAATCTACATATTACTATTTTCTACTTGTTCCATCTATTTTATGTTCCCACTTCTCGTCTTTTTTAGATTAATATTTCATCATTCAATTTTCCCCTATCAGCTTGTTATTCATTTTACATTTTAGAAATAGTAATATAAATTAGAACTTCTACAATTTCAGAGATAATGTAACATACTTTTAACACTTTAACTCTATTTATTGCTTCATATCTTTTGTACTAGTTTTGTCATGAAATTTTAACTCTATGTATATTTTTACCCAACAAATATTTAAATTGCTTTTATACAATCAACCTTTGTATTTAGTCATATATTTATTTCCATTGCTCTTTAGTCTCCCGCTTTCAGTTGGGATCATTTTCCTTCTGCCTAAAGGAAACCTTTAAACATTTCTTTTTCTTCAGGTTTGCCATGACAAATTCTCCCAATTGTTGTTAGTCTGAAAAGTCTTAAGTCAATTTCATTTATGAAGGACATTTTCACTGGGTACAGGATTTTAGGTTGGTAGTTATTGTCTTTCAGTACTTTAAAGATATTAATCCGCTCTTTTATTAATTCCTTCACTTTTGTTCAAAAG